ATGGCCCCTGAAGACAAGAAAGAGCAATTTGTCATTCTTGCGGGAAAGGTGGAATTAGTAGCCTGAGATCCTTGTGACTTAGGAGCAAATGTCACCAAGACCTGAGTGCCCCTTTCCCAGGGGCAGCTGTGTACACAATGCAATGAGGAAGGAGAATATGTACTGGCTACAAATGTTTTGTTAGACATTCTTCTTTGTTTAGAAAGTCTGCTGAACTGCTTTCTCCATTTCAATTAAAGAGATTGTCAAGAAAGTAATAATTGGTTATCTCTAAGGGTGTCCTGTTTTTTATTGTCAAGAAAGGCATTCACATGCCTCTCTTGATGTCTAAAAATTTTCATCTTGTGATTGAAGAATTATAACTTAATCCCCAAAGAGGAATAACCCTGATTTAGGCAGATCTATTAATTTATCAAATATGTATTGCACACCTCTTATGTGCCAGGCATTTTTGTAGGTACTTGGGATACACTGATGAACAAAACAAAGATGCGTGTGCTGTGGTGATGCAGGCAGAGGCAGACTATAAACTGTAGATATAATAAAGAAATACATTTTACCAGCAAGTGGAAGATAAGTGCTACAGAAAGCGGGGAGGGTACAGCTCAGTGGTAGAGCACATGCTTAGCCGGCATGAGGTCCTGGGTTCAATCCCCAGTGCCTCCATTAAAATAAATAAAGAACTTAATTACCTCCCCCCGACCAAAATAAAGTGCTACAGAAAATAAGAAAATTAGAGCGAGGTACGGAAATTGGGAACGTGGGACTGAAATGGGACAGACTGCATTATTAAATAGCAGAATTAAACAACTGTTCAGAATTACAATGAGCACTAAAGGGAGGGATAAACAAAGCCATCCTAACACATTAACTGATCAAGATGTGCCTTCCAGTTACCAAGATGCTTTCAGCTACAGAGGAAAGCTCATTGCTGTCTGCCAGGCCTAGGACAGAGAGTCATGAGTAACCCTTTAGCATCATCAGATCTCACCACTGTGGCAGGAGCTGCCCATACCACCTACTGATAGATCCAGTCAGCCTTTCGCCTACTTGTTACCTGTTATCGCCTGGTAAACTTCAGATTCACATGGGTAAAGATCACAAGACAGACAAGGTCTATAGTGGAAAGGATAAAATGTTTAATCCCGGAGATACTGTAAAAGGTCTGTGGAGTCAAAGTGCTGACAGACTAAGATGTGAACAAGTTAACAGAGAATTAGATTCAGGGAGAAGCAAACCAGGACAGTTGGCCACCCTGACTGCAAGTCAGTGTGATGGAATCACCGAGCGTGACTGCAGGGAAAAGGAGGAGGTATCTGACCCACCCCAAGGCACCCCTGAGGAGGCCGTCTCTTGAAAACATGGCGCTGGGGCTTGAAATCAAAGAGGCCAAAGAGTTAGCAAGTCCAGAGGGTGAGAAGGGCATTTAAGAGCATCCTAGGCAAAAATAAATAATGAAAACAAACCCGAGGCAGTGATGACATGGCCATCAGGGAAAGGCAAGCATTGTGGTATGACCTTAGCAAGGTGAGATTGGGCGCTGGTAAGAAGGCGAACAGGGGGATAGGGCCAGATCGTGGTCACATGCTTCTCTAAGGAATTTGGATTTTATCGGGAAGGCTCTGGGGAAGAATTTTTTTCCGACTACAAAAGGAATACATAATTATAAAAAGGAACTTAGAAAATACAGTTTATAAAGAGGAAATGACATCACACCAAATACAAATCGTATATTGCTTTTTTTCCATTTAAAAACCTTTGCTGTCTTCCTGAAAATACAACTTTATATCCATCTCTTTTCACCTAACATCTAAGCATTTTCACATTTAATTAGTAGTAGAAAATATAACTTAATTGTGTAATCACTTGTCCACACTATAATTTCTGACCTGTTCCCCTAGTGGACATATGGGTTATTTCCATTTTTCTATAATAAATAGCAATGGCACTTCTGTGTATAATATTTTACCCACATTTCAGATGATTTCTTTTTTATATATTATTTTAAGACTCTGTTCATATTGACATGGTATCAATGTATGTGCCTGCCTTTAACAAGTATATTTCTATCTCATCCTACTTACCCTAGCATTAAAAAAATTCTTTTCTAATTCAAAGGGCAAACATTTTTTCATTAATGAGATTAAACATTTTTATGTTTATTAGGTGATTCTATTTCTTATTTGGTAAATTATCTGTGTATTTTGCCTTTCATTTATTTCTAAGAGCTCTTTATATATTAAGGATATTAATCCTTTATATTTGTGTTTGTTGAAGTAGTTCTCTCAGTTTCTTTGTATTTTAATTTTTTTGCAGCTTTAACAACTTTGTAATGTTTGCAAATATTCCTATTTAATAAAGAGCAATATAGGTGCATACAAATGAATCACTACGTTGTACACTAAAAATTAATATAACATTGGAAATGGACTTTGATAAAAAAAAACAAAGAAGAACACTTTAAATTTTGATGAGTTCAAATCATCAATATTCTCTTTCTTCTGAAATTTTAGGCCATTTCTGATCATGAGATCTGATCAATACAGGCATA